CCCCAAAACCCCAAAACCCCAAAACCCCACAACTGATTCCTTATTTTGAAATTGTAAATATTTTTAATAATTAAAATGAACAATTGGAGTGCTAAGACAGCTCTTACCAATAAGGAGCTAGACATCATGACTTAGATATCATCACTTTTCAACAAGAATTCTCAAAGAACTTCAAGCTAGCAATAACCATCCTAAGTTACTAATTAATTGCCTTAAACAGCTTAAACATTAAAGATATAATCTTCAGCAACAAAGGTATAAATAAACATAGAATAGCAATAAAAGTCAGGGCAATAAATTACAGAGCTTAATGAGTTAATTGCATAATCAAGTGAGATACTAGCACATTAAGATACTTTGGCCAATGAAACTTTGCAACTAATACAGAGGATTGAAGTTAATAAAGGCCAGGTAATGGCTAATACCAAGGATTTTTAGGTATCATGTATGAGCATTCTGAAGAGAGAACGCATGCTAACTAAAGTTGTCAGAGAAATTGAGAAGAATCTTTAGAGTTACAAGGACTATGAGGAATGTCAAAGGATTCTATAGCATTCATAGCTTATGGAATAGCCAAAAGAACTGATAGCTGTTCTTGGCAAGATATTTAGAGGGATCGATTTTTTCACCTAGAATTTTGAATACAAGAGAGCTGATTTATACCTCAGAAGATTTAACACACTCAAGGATAGTGCTCTTGAAAAGATCAATTTAAAAATCTTAAAGGTAATGAGGGACGCTAATGCAGAGAACAATCTGAGTGTAGTTCAGACATAGATATTCGAGAAAGCAGTGAAGTTCGAAGACTTGGATGTTAAAAATGTTATATATCATGAGCCTAAAGTGCCGCCTCATCTATAGTAAAGTAAATATTAGTAAGACATGTAGTAAGAGCAGCAGTTTACTTAATTTGAGACCTTAAGATTGTTTATTACTAGTGTTGAGGAAAAAGGTAATTTTAACTATGAATTCTGTGAAAGGATTTATGAAGAATACTTCGATCATAGGCTCTATCTCATTGAGTAATATCTTGAATGTATTGCTAGGATTATGGATGGCTTAGGAATCTAAACTGTGTTTCAGTATATGGTCAAATATCTTGAAAAATTCATTGAAGTATTTAATCTAGAGTAAGTGTACTTCGAAAGATAGTTCTCTAAGTCAGAACGCTTCTCTTAGTTTAGAAGTGAAAATGAGTATGATTTAATCAACAAAAAGCTGAAGCCATATATCGTATATTCAGTGGATGTAATAAATCTATGTGATGCCATCGACTACTTAAGAGAGCCCTATATATCTAACAATGTGGCAGATGACACTATCAAAAGACTTTTCTCTGACTTATAGGAAAGATTACTCTTAATTAGTCACTATTCCTTGCAAGAGGTACTGGCTCAAGCTCAAATTAATCTTAGTTTGCCTTAAGTAGTGAACAATCAAGATCCAACATAATCATTGATAACTAAAGAAAACTTGCCATTCTAGTTCATAACCAAGCTTATAGAGATACTTTAAAAACTTTAAAAAAGAATTAATCCAGATATATACAGAGGTCTGCTATTAGAAGTAGTTTAAAGAGTATATAGCGAAAAACTAGAAAATCTTCTTAGTTATGAGAGTTCAGATAGACCTCATTTGATAGAAGTTTTATTGCTAGCTCATGCTAATATAATGTTTTCGAGAAAAGATTTACTAAGTAAGGCGTAGTAGAATAAATCGAAATCATAAACAAAAGGCACATCTGATAATAATAGTACTACAGACTAGGAGGATGCTGCATAAGCAGAGGAAATAGATGATGAAATAGACCTAGTAAAAACCAAAGAGAATCTCTGGCAGCTGCTTACTTTCTCAACTCAGCAATATGACTCCGTATTTCATTTTATAGATGAATCTATCCCAACTCTAAAGAAAAAGTAGCAGAAAGATATGCTTGAATCGCTTTGGCAAAGACTGTTCAACATCACTTAGAGGATATGTAAAGTCTTTATTAAGGAGACTTTCCAGGATATAGATACTTTCATGGCAAAGCTAAAGGCTGATAATGGGCCAAAGAGTATGAGTGAGTACGAAAAACAGCTGATTTTCACAATGAAGTATGATGGAGTTGAAGACTAGGCAGTTATTGATAAGTATCAATGGGCTATCTACGAAAATGTCAGAGAGATGTATGTTGATAGCTTATCAAGACTTGCTATTTAGTACAAGCTATTCAAGGAGAAACTGGCAAAGATCTAGGAATGCTTGATGTTTAACGAGGAAGGGTTTTAGATTTATGAGCAGATGAAAAGTGATGTGAGATTGAAGAGTCTGAATCACATCTAGAAATTCTATACCGTAATTAGCAAGCACTACGATAAGGGAAGATACGAGTAGCTTAGATTGAAGGATTTAAAGGAACTCAATTTGGAGATATTTGGCATCAATGACAGTGAGACACAAATTGTGACATGAATTATAGATAAATTTAATTTCATAACTTTATCTGAGTCATATTATCTATCAATAGGGGTTTTGGGGTTTTGGGGTTTTGGGGTTTTGGGG